TTGACATAACTCACACGTTGACATCGCGCTGCGAAAGTATATCTCAGTCGAAGCGCCCTTGATTCGACGTTTGCTTTGCGAATCGCTTTAGGCTCTATCTCGTATCATTGGTGATCGTTTAAAATTGTGTATAGAATGTTCAAACAGGAAAGATCGATATTTCGATGGGTGATCGGTCGTGTTTTGTAAATAGGGAAAGATTTCTGTAAATGAATGTGTGATTCAATATTGCGAAATTTTTAGAAATTTGTGAATTTGAGGAAATTTCTATAACTATATGTTATAAATATATATAAGTGAATTCAAAATTGTGTAAATAGTAAACGGTGTCACATTTTTTTTTTCGTTATCCACAGTGCTTATGTGTTTGTTGCTAAACTATTTGAAAAAGATTACTCTTTAAAGTATCGAGTTTTTTTCTTAGGATATTTTATATTCGTCAAAAAATTGCAAGCACACATTTTATCATCAAATCTGTTAATTTTTATATTTTGAAAGATCTATATTTCAAAGTTAATTCATACAATTTTTCGAATCAGTCAGAGTCCATTCTCACAGAGCAGTGTTTCTACAACGCAATTTCTGTTTACTACGTCGATCGAATGTCGCAGTTTTGTGAAATTATCAGCACCAATTAGTTTTAATCACAATTAATGATTCGTTTTTCGCTATCGAATTGTGAATCATTTAGCATTAGTTTGCATAAATGCAATTTTGGCGAAAATTAATTTATCGTTACGAGTAACAATTTGATGTCGGTAACTGCGCAAAACGTCGAGATTGATGTTAAGTGCAGAAAAGCAACTCTGATTATGCAAACTATGTAGATTTAAAATTGGATCAATTGCATTTAATATATTTTTATGCATTTTTGTGCTATTTTGACAATGTTATGGATTAAATGGTACATAAGTAAGTTGTAAAGTTGTAGCATACATATATCTATGGAAAGCTAAAATAATTTAGAAAAACGCGTGATTCTTCTATTTAATAAAAACTATCTCTTTTTTCTAAAAATAAAATTTACAAATATTGAATTATATATATAAAATTTACAAATATTGAATTGTATATATAAAATTCAAATAATTTAAATAAATTTAATTTCTCTGAATAAATTCGAAATTTTTATGAATGCTCCGTAATTTAATCATATTATCAGATAGCATCGTCTTTATGATTGACAAAAAAATAAATCAATTAAGATCAGTGTCGTTGAGCTCGAAAGGGGAGAAGAAATTCTTTTTACGCATTTTTATGTTGTTTGGCAAAACGAGCCAAATAAAACGCGAACGGAAATAATCACGGATTGTTATGTCGCATTTATCGATCTATTGAAATTACTCTTGGTATAAGTAACCTCGATATAACGTCTATTAACCCCGAGTCGCTAATAAGGACTATAGGATATCGTCTAGAGAGATGGGTATCAAGTCTCATACTTTATTTAACGTGAAGGAGAAAAAAAATTCTGTTAGAGATTTATTTTTTACATACAAAAGAATTGCATTAAAAACCTATAAATATGTGACAACGGATATATTATCGACATTTCGTTGAAATTTGGTTTCTTTCCGATGATTATATAAAAACGTGCAGTTGTTGCTAAGTGCAACGCGCTCTCCTATCCTCCATCGAGGCGCAGGTGCAAGGGTTGTTCACAATGAGCTATAAAAACTAGATATGAGGATATAAAATATAAAAATCGCAGAGAAAAAAAATAGAAATATGAAATATATATATATATATATATATATATATATAATTTTTTTCTGGGCTTCTTTAATATTTTATATATCCTCAATATCTCGTTTTAATAGTTCATTGAATTTTACATATATATGAGGAAGTTTCAAACAGAAATAAAATGAGAAAGATACATAGATATCATAGTTTATATAGACAAGACATATCCAAAATATTAAAATGCAAGATGTCTATAATTAGCACAATCTACTTAAAAGATTTCTCTCATTTTCCATATTTTACAAGATTCACTTTGCATTTTATTTCTGATATTTGCAAAATTTATTTGAAATGCTTAATACTAGCCAAGTTTTTTTTTTAATTTTTTAAAATTTCTTTTCATTTTTTAAAATTCGCTTCGTAAAATGAGTTTTGATAAATCATTTCAACTCTGAATCATAATATGCTAAAATACGACATAAATTGCTTTCTTTTTTAGTAGTTCATTTTTCTTATTTTTTACGTTTCACATTATTCTGATATTTTCCATAAAAATATTACCGCGAGGAATATTGTATTTGTATTACTTTTTTTCAAAGTATAAATACGTGGATTGCGTCTAGTAATATATTGCAATTTCGTGAACAGGTGCCTTTTGTTTGATCGGTACATCATTAGACGAGAGATCAGCGGGCTTTCCCGCTGTACGAAATTAAACGCTCATTCCATTTACTTCTCTTACGGGAAATATCGATTGCAGACACTGCACGAACACTGCGCCGAGTCGCACGCACGCACATATTTCGCAACGAGCGAATCGATTGGCCGCGAGCGAATCTTTCCATTGCATTACTAATTATTAAGTACGTTAGATCAGTTGAACGGATCCCGAAAAAGAATGTTTCGATTATTTATCGCTTATATGTTTAAAAAATTATGAAAAGACACGGCTAATCTTTTTTGATTAATTTTAATTTTTATTTAAAAGAGTAACAGATTTATTTGTGAAAAATTTCAGAGTATTCTCAGATTTCAACGTCTTAAAGTTAGTTGAAAATTAAATTAAATTTTTTGAAAATTTTTTATTTAAAATTAATGGTACTACAAGTCAATCTCTACATTCTATTTCTCCACATTCATATTTACTGATTTAGTGCTTTTTACAGTTCTTTGTGTAATTTGACTATTTGCAAAGACGTAGTTATTCATTTTCGCTGCGTCTTTTGAATTAGTCTTATTTGTCTCGTCTTGTTCGCCAAGGATATCCGATATTTAAGCTCGGAAACAAACAATCACATTTTGCTAGCTTTGCATTACTTATGAATACTAATACAGTATCGCTGAATTAAATAAAAAAATACGACTATCCGTATCGAACAATGCAGTTTGATGCATACGAATAGTTAAAAGTAAAGAATTAAGAGTAACGTAATTTTTCGTATATATAATATACATATTATTATATTTTAATAATATTGTAATTATATATACACATATAATTAATAATAATTTTTTTAAATTTCTTATATTTTTTTATAAATTATACCACTTAAATAAGTAGTATTTTGGCAGAATTAGAATAATATTAGATATAAACGTTTCTTTCGTAATTTATTTTATTTATATGAAAAATTGATATTTTGCTAAATTAACTAAATTTATATTTAGCACAAAACTCGCTATATTTCGTGAAATTTGCAAAAATAAGCGATGTCTTAAAGAGTGCATACAGTTGTTATCAGGCTGTTGCAATGAAAAGGATTGTAAATAATCGAATGATAAATATTAATTAACGAGGTTAAATTCGAGAATAAGCGTTAATTAATTCATAAACTGTCGCACGTATTGCAAAACCTGATAGCCACGATTAATTATACACTCTTCTGCTATAAAATATATTAACGTCGACTCATCGTCATGTCTCTAAAATTTTGATATGTCCACGATTCTCACTTCTCAAATATTAATAAATCAAAGATATAAATATTTGACAAACGTGTGCGATTCGTTTTGAAGCTTTCTATGATGTTTTAAATGCATTGATTATTATTTTACTGCTAATATCGTTTATAAATATTTAAAATTGTTTAATGTTGGGTTTATTAAAGCAGTAATGGATTTATGATAATCTCTTCGAACATATTGTGTGATACGATAAAATGCTTTACAAACGGAAATCAATGAGATGCATTTTTCGAATTTGTCGATTGCAATATTTCTCAAACGTAGTCACACTCTGCAAAAACCAGACAGAACTGGACACGCTAAATGAATCAGCGATCATAATTAAATAGAATCCGATTATACGTCCAGTTAAGGATTAGATGTGCGATTCTATGGCTTCCACGTCGCATACGAAGACTCATATGATTCTTACAATATGTAGCATTTTACTAATTTAAGATAATTTGATTTTTTAAACAATAAAATATATATATAAGTTTGTTTTTCATACGACATATTTTTTTCTGTAAGACATGGATATCGATTTGTATAATACTTAAAGAAAAGATTATTTCATGAAATATTGCATTTAATATATTGATTTTTGTCGAAAAAATTATTAATTATTTATATGTTTACAAATTGATAACGTATTATACATATGTATCATGTAATGTATATATAATCTAATTATGAATATGTTGTATATTGCGTATGCAAAAAGTATAGAAGCCTTATATAAATAGAAATGATTTTAAATATATACCACGTCACAACTATTATTATAACACATATGTTAATGCGTTGATATTAAGCTAACATTCACAGAAAGAGTTCAAAGTCAAATTAAAATCGAATTCATTATTTTCCACGGAGAAAATTAAAAGGTATTATACTTTGTTACATATACATACACATATTCTATAAGTATATAAAGTTTTTTATTATTTGACATAAATAATAGGTCACATGCATCATCTTATGTAAACTCGTATAACTAATCAAAGATTTTTTTCGACAAAAATCGATTTATATAAAATGCAATATTTTTTTTTATACAAATCGATTATCCTTTTCTTATAGATCTTTTTCTTATATAAAAGATTATTTCATATGAAAAAACTTATAGAGATTATATTAATAACTTGTATTAATAAATCTATTTCCTGTTAAAAAAAAATTAATTTTTTGTAAGTTTCTTACAAATTATTATTTAATCTCTAACAGATATAAGTATTCATTGTGCTAAAAATATTGCGAATCAAACACAAAAGAAGGTTGTATCTAGGCACATACTGTACATCAGCGCTTGAAGTATCTATCATCGGCGGTTAATGACGAATCTCTAAGAATCTCTTTCATGCTTTCAGAGTGCAGTAAGGGCCCGAGGAGCTACGTAGATCATGTCAGGGCCAGGGGCGGAGTGGTGACCTAGACCTCATCCCTCGGCTCCGACCCTCGATGCTTACGCTACGGCTGGTGTCGACTCACTTCCTGAAGCAGCCATAGGCAGTGCCCTTCGCCTTAGAGAAAGGGCTTCGTGCGATGTGCCGTGATAGGGACATGAACCCAGAACTAGTCGAGTCGCACGATCTCCGCTCAACGGCGTTGTCGTCGTCGCCGTCGCCGTCGTCGTAAAACTAAAATTAAAAAAGAAAAACAGACAACACGGTCGTTCGAAATTTTCACGTGCACGCAAGAAGGACTTCTTCTTTTTCGACGGTCCTTCTATCTCTCTCTCTCTGCTGCGAGAATCTTTCTCGCCCTGGCATACGTACTCACGAACGCATACACACCATACGCATACGCATCCCCACGAATCGTTCCTTGCCCTCTAACTACATAGACTAACAAGAACGATTTCTTTTTTATGATGTCGAGATAGATTAAAATTCTGACAGACGAAATAGACGAATCTCAGGCGAGCAAGTGTATATATATGATATCGCATTTGGTACTCGGGTTACTCGCGATATTCGGTACATAAATCCGTGATCCGGGTCGCGCAAATCGGCCGGATCGAAGGAATACGATCATAACTCGGAAGAGACGACTTTATCAATATATACGGCGAATCCAAAAGAAGGACGAAAGGAGGGAAGAAGGGAAGAGGACGAGACAGCTGCCACGCTGAACTCGGTATACATCAACCTGTGGAAAGCCGCGAGAGAGTGTATTGTGAGTTTTTTTCTTTAAATCCTTATAATATAATAATGTGTGCATGTCTTTAATGTTGATAGAAACGATATGCAAAATACGATTATTAATAAATTATTATTAACTTTTTAATTAATTTATTAAACTAATATATAGAGAGGCAAAATATTTTATTTAACTTACGTTAGATATAAACTACATTCGCATAATCTTAATATTATTTTTATTATTATTTTTCTTGTTATTTATCTACTTTTTTGAAACAGAAAAATCTTATTAAAATATAACACAAAGATTATTTTTAAATTATTATTATTAAATTTTTTAATGATATTTCCTTTTATTAAGCACTTTGAAATTATTTAATATACTTGAAATGATCAAATTATTATATTTAATTAAAAGAAAATACAATATATATATAATTTTTATTATTAATTAATTATAGTATCTCTAGAGGCATGATAAAAAAATAAATATTGAAATTAAATTTTTATGTTTTCGATAAACTTGATTCAAATGTAGATTATCAAAAATAATTTTAATTTTGTCAAAAAATTCTGCATAAAATCATTGTTATTTGTGAATGAAAAATATCCAAATTGCCATAATTTAAAGGACAAACACTTTGCCATCTTGCAGTAATTTTCCAATTTGCGTCATAAATTCAACATGTTGACAGCTAACGGACTAAAAAAAGTCATATTTATATTAATAGTACATAAGAGAATCTTGACGCACCTGGCTCCTCGATTACGTAATCGCAAAATTTTGGCACAATTTTGGTGCATGAATAATGTCGTTGGCGTGAAATTTCTCCGTTGGCTGCGATCAGTCGCGAGCGAGCATCATCGGCGATCATTAACCGTCTCGTAATAGTTCCTTGAAATTGCGTATTTTCCTTTCCCGCAAGAATGGATGACAAGGTAAAGTGATCAACCGTATATCGGTTATCGGTGCAATGGTCAGCGAGTTATTTTTGATAACGCTTTGTGCTGTTTAAAAGAAATTTACGTCGCAAAAAACTTGCAATTATTTAAAAGAATCGATGATTGTTGAGTGTCCGTCCGTTTCTGATGAATAATTCCTTATAAATTTTAATAAATAAAATGCTTCCAAGAAATTGTATTAAAATTATGTCGCTTTGCAATAATGTGGAATAATTAATTCAAATAGAACAGCTATATATATATATATATATATATATATATATATATATATATATATCAGAGCTATTTTTTCACAAAGTTTCAAGATATTATTTCTGAAGAATATGCTATAAACCTTTTTGCATGATTAATATACATTTTCTATATAGCGGTGTAAAAGTTTGCCGACGCGTCCTTTATTTTTATCATAATAAATAATATTGACGATAGAAGCGAGGACGACGACATTTCACGGTTCATCGATCTACTCGAACGAAGCTTTTCCTATGTTGTGAAATGCGCGTTTCTCATCATGTATCGATCGTGCGCTTGCGAAAATATTGAAATTATTCTACGATTGTTCTGTCAATGTCGGTACACTGACATGCTATTTATTCTCCAACATAATCGTGCAAATGACACCTCGCACGAGACAGAAACATCCAATTCCTTATTGAAAGAAACCGGTACATTTTTCTTTATTTTTTAATCTTATTTCTATTTAAAAACTATATATATATTTAAATTATATATTTAAATATATATATATTTTTTTTTAAATTAATATGTTCGCTTTTCTTTCACTCCTTCAATATACTATAAAATAAGTTTTTAAATTATATCGCTTAATTCTTCTCTAAATTATTTTTAATTTTTTTTCTACAAATTTAATGCTTTTTTCTGTTATGAAAAAATATTTTTTCTCCTTTTTCTACTAAAAAGTTTAGCATTCTTATTTTTTTTTATCGATATCTTTTTTCTGATTGAACCGCGATCGAAGATTTTACTCGAAGACAAGAATGGTGATCGAGTGAGAGGCAAACTTTTGAATGGCTGTCGTCTTGCATGTTAATGTAATATCATGTGATTTACAACAAGTGTACTCGTCGCTTTTGTCAGTGCGGCGGTGGGTCGCAGTACAGACAAAGTGGGATGAGACGCCCTCAGCAAGAACATCATCATCATCATCACCACCACCATCATCACCATCATCATCATGGATCTTCAACAAGCCCCACGCGTTCTCGTCAAGCACACGATAAGGTAATCTTTCTTTGACACTTTGCAACCGCTTAATAAGATATCAACCTTATGTTTTATTATTAATTAATCATAAAAATTTAATTTTGATATTAATTATTTTTTATTTTGATAACCGTATTTAAAATAGTTGTACCTATAAAACATAGAATTGTATTATTGTATTATTATTGTATTATTTTACGTATACACATATGATATATTTTAATTACTAACGAATTTCTCAAAAATTAATTAAATATTAAATTGCAATATTAATATGTATTAGAAATAATGACATGTAATTTTTGACTTTTTTTATTGTAATTTTTAGCTATCCTATTTTTACGTTAATAATTTATGTATAAGAAAAATTGTGTTGAAAAATTGTGTTGAAATTCCTATCTACAATAATTATTGCTATTTTAATAGCTAGAGATAATAGCGTATAGTAGTTGTTCTACATTCTAAATACGGTTAAGAAACTTTCTGGTTCTTCTAGTGTTGAGCGAGAATGCAGAGTATATATCTACTCGTTACTCCACTTTGTCGATACATTGCCTTTCAAGTTATTAGATCCAGACTGTTCGTCGATTATGCTTTCTCGTTCTCGTCATTTCACTAATTATTTATATGACTCGTATAAATGTCGTGTGAATATGTAAAGAATGGAATATTATGAATGATATACTGAAGATACTCTAAGAATGATTTTGCTTAATATATAATTACTTATTTAAAAATAATAAAAAAACCAAGTAAAACTTATCATAAAAGTTTTACACTTAAAACATTGTATACATATATCTTTTGTAACTTATTTTTATGCGCATAGAAATATTTCTTCTCTCCAGAAATTTTATATTTTCAATAACATATTTTGTATTTTATATCAAATATAATACTTTTAAATATCTATATAATTATATTTTTGCAATTGTTTTTAAAACTTTTTAGAATATTAATTCCACATTTGTGCGATTTTAATGATTAAAACACTGTTTACAGAGCATTATTTGCATAGTATTCATTTAATTAGAGAGTAATAATTTAGATTTTAAATATTTTTGTTTCTTGATTATGTATGTACAATGAAAACGCGCTAGGCCCAGGCGGCCTAACGAATCCCACCTCTCCTGTTTCAGGATGAATCCCGTCTCGCACGCGTGAAGCGCGTCCTGGCGGGCTCGCTGCTCGGCCGCGGTGCCGGCTCCAGCAGGATCTTCGGCACCCGGCTGGAGCTGATCGAGTCATACCTCGACACGGGTGTGCCATACGTGGTGCATCGGCTATGCAGCTACATCGAGGCGCACGGCTTCCAGAGCGCGGCGGTGTTTCGCCTGTCGGGCGGCAGTCCCCGGCTGGCAGAACGATTGAGAGCTGCCTTCGAGCGGCGAGGCGATGCCGATCTGGAAGCAGCCGGGTGTCCGCCAACCGCCGCGACTCTCCTCCGTCAGTATCTGAAGGAACTGCCGCAGCCCGTCGTGCCGTCTACCCTCGTCGGCAGACTGCTCAACGTACACGCTCGTAAGAACCGTAATGTTATTTCTTTTTTAAAATAAGAATTTTATTAAAAGACAAGATGAAGACAGGATGCACACATATCGCTCTGGATATATTTTAGATGCGACTTTAATTATTATTTAAAGGCAAACAAATTTTAGAACGCAACTCTTCATTCTAATAATTCTGTAAAAATGTTTGATGCAGAGAGTTACTCCAATGATCACGACTCGTGGATCGCCTCGACGAAGGAGCTGCTCTCGACTCTGCCGTCCTCGCATTATCATCTGCTCGGCTATCTGACGATCTACCTTAGTCGCTACGAGGTTCGACACGGACGCAGCGCCGGTGTTTGCGGCGTTTTCGCGCCTGTCATTCTGCCGCACGTGCCACCGGCGACCACTCTACTGCGGGACATTCTTGCCGAGGCGCTGGTGCTATTTCCTGACTGGTGAGTAATATTTAATGATTCTCTTAGCATGATGACATGAGGCAACTTGTAAAAATATGTAAGGAAGTCGCGCGAGTAGTTTGCGTAACTCGTCGGCAAAAGCAAATGATGTCTGGTTGTCTAATTTATTTCTATCACGGGTCCGCTTTTCCTATTTTTAGAACTATTAGATCATACTCAATATGTTACACAAGACAAGGTAGTTGTCGGGCCATAAAAGAATAACATGAATTATAGACTTATATTAAGTAATGAAATTATGGAAGTAATGAAATTATAGACTTATATTAAATAATAAATCATAGAATTTTTATTTTGCAAATTTTTAAAAAGAAAATCAATTCTAAATTATTATTTCAATGTAACTTTTTTTCTAAATTTATTTTTTTAAATATTGTTTTTTTAATTAAATTTATTTTTAAATTAAAAGATATCGGAAAAATATCTTTATAAAAGAATATTAGAAAAATATATGAATAAAAAAGAAGAAATTACAAAAAAATAAAAAACTAATACGATGACACTGATTTGCATCAAATATATAATTTTGTATATCTTTTAACCTGGCACTTCCATTATGAAAAACAAAATCAAATATTGCCAATCTGTAACTTTAATTCCAAATTTATTAATTAGCAAAAAATTGATATTAAAGATAGAAATATTGATTTAATTTAACATCACGTAAATAGGTATTTCCATTTTTGAATAATCTTTATGGTTAATCATAAATAAATAGGGATTAATTGTTATTTAATTATTTGAAAACTGCAAATAGATTTAAACAATAATATATTTTTATATAATATATTTTTATATAAATATACCAACACGAATTATTATAATTAAAGAAAAATAATCAAAAGTAAGAAATTAACAATATCAGTTTGATATCAATATTTTCCAAATTTTTAACTTTTATTGAAATATCCTAATTTCTTGAATTTGTTGTTAGCAAAATAAATATAAAAAATTATTTTTTTAACGAACAATTGTTTAAACATAATCTATAATTGACTAGTTTTAAATTGTATAAAACTCAAAGTGATGTAAAGTGATTTTCTCTATGAAAATTTTGCAAGCAATTAACTTTACAAATAATAGATAATTGAAATATTATTAATTATTTATCCCGTGATTGCTCACATCGTTTGATTGCTTTCTCCTCTTTTGTTTATTTTTTGCTGCTTTTCCATCGAATTCGCACACATTCACATGCGAATATATGGTTAATTACACATGATTGCGCGCACACTAATCAACAGAATACAAATGCCAAATTTATAATACGCAGTGTGTTAAATATTAAAATAAAGTTAGTCATTAATGGTTATAATTATTAAATACTTCGCAATAATGTCCAAGTTAATTCGTTTCATATCCTATTTTATATCCACCTTGTTAATGACAAATTTGAAAATTATGTTGGCAATTTTATATCCTGATACTACATGAGGTAATGGCTAATTGGATGCGATCGAAAGTTAATGAATAACATGAGTTGACAATCTTTAATTATTTCTAGGAAATGATGGCAATTGGCATCATTCATTACTTATCGTGATTCTCGATGATCTATTTATCAAATTAAATATTTTGAACGATTTATGCGCTTCAAAAAATTAAAACAATAGGAGATAGAATTATAAATTATTATTTCATTATAATAATTATTCCTTTATTTATTTGTTCTTGTTTTTTAATATATCTCACATTACGCTTTGAATTTTTCGCCGATTTAAATGTAATTTATATATTATTTTCATATTCATTGATCAATAATAAACATTGAATATGAATAATAATATATGAATTGAGTGATTTAAGTAACAAAAAGGTATAATTGTTCATAATTAATTAATTTAAAATCAAGAAACATAAAATATTTCATGTACAATTACTTTATAATATGTTAAATATTTTGTGACGAGATAACAAGTATATACAATGAAAATATTATTACGTTCACCTTCACATAGCGCGCTATTGTTTACATACATATGTACAGATGGTCGAACTATTGTCATTCGTGTGGCGACACTAGAGTGAAAAGCGGCGCGAGACGCTCCGTCATATTATTTTCCGAAACGCAATTACGCGACAAGTTTATTAAACGCAATCATTTCCTATGAACAATTAGAGATTGTCAATTCACGCAATTAAATAATTTCCGTGATTATTTCGTCTCAAATAGCCACTAACTCGCACAGAATTTCGCGTAGTATCTGAAAAAACTGTCGAATCACCTTGTAATTTCTCAGTCATCAACAAAACATTATCGCGGCTCGTTTAATAATACAATCATTGTTATAAGATTTATTTTTAATATTTACCATAAATTAATGCTTGTATTATTCTGGCAATTATATAAATCATAAAATCGAATAATTCAAACAAAATGCCGAGATATCAATTGTATATAATTTATTTAAAATCAGAAAGAAGAAATATTTCATGTAAATTTATTTTATATGTTAAATATTTTGTAGCGACAAAAAAATATACGTATTCAAATATTGTGTTCAATCTTCGCATATAGCGCGCTATTGTTTACATATATCGCATAGACGCTCGACTTTGTTATTGAGGACACTTGAATGAAAAGGTACCGGAATGAGACGATCCGTCGTCATATTATTTTTCGTAACGCGATCATGGGATAAGGAAATTTATTAAATGCGATCATTTCCTATAAATAATTAGAGATTGCCAATTCACATAATTAAATAATTTTCGCAATTATCACGTTTTAACTAGTTATTAATCGCGTAATATTGCACAGTATCGGATTAAAATTGCCAAATTATTTTAGAATTTTTCATTCGTCGACAAAACAGATTGAACATTATTGCAGCACGTTTAATAATTACACAAACATTATTAATATTTATTTTTAAATTTACCACATCGCGTGTCATAAATTAAGCGCTTGTATTTTGGTGATTAGTATGTGCGCGATGGTAATTAACCATATTTTTGCGAGTGAGTGTTTTATAAGTGCTACAAAGGTGCAGCAAAAGATGAACAAGACAGAAAAAGAAGGCTCGGAAAAACATCAAATGATGGAGCAACAACGGAGTAAGTAATTTATAATTTTGTTAATTCATTATTTATTAAATTAATTGTGCTTGCCAAATCTCTGCTCGATATTGATCAAACTTTATATCATTTTAAGATATAAAAATTTAGAGATAATCAATTAGAAACTTCCTCTCTAGATTTAAAATCATTATAACATCGATTATTTTTTAAATTAATTTCACAAATATTAAATTTTCAGAACTATGATATTTTAATAGTAATTATTTCGGGAAATAAATTGATGTATATCGAGCTGATATTAATTTTTGTATTATGTTTTAATATTGATGTTAATTTTTTATTATTTTATTTTTTTATATAATTATAGTATTTCATATATTATGCACTTATAAAAATGTAATATTGTAAAATATATTTGTAATATCTTTAAGCAATTAATTAACAATTAATTTTAATTTATTTGTTTTTTGTTTACAATTTATTATAAGTATTATTTGGAAACGATAAATATTAGCACTTCTGTTTTTAATGTTCTATTAATTGATAATACGAAGATGCAATAAATTTGGAATTACAATTTGCAATAAATTTAGAATAACAAATTAATATTAAATTGATAATTATATCATATATCTAAATTTCATTTCTCGAGACAGTTAACGGAAGTTAATTTTGCGAATATTGTTGAAATAGTAAAAAAACATGATATAAAATCACGATAAATTACGGCTATGCTCACATACCTAACTATTCATGCGTTGTTGGACAACAAGTTGCTCATTATCCTTCAGTCAGTTCGTGGTTTTTGCGAATAAAGCAATGAAGATTTATTAATATGAAATCTCACATAACTTTTTAAATGTCCAATAAAGAACAGAAAAATTAAAGTATAAGATTAAAAACGATTTAATTTTACAATATAAAAATAAATCTAAAAAAGAGAGAATTTTTAATATTTAAATATTAGTTTTGATCAGCTTGCAAAAATTAAATTTGTATTGTTTTTGTTATTATATTCTAAATAATTTTTAAATGGAGATACTTTATTATTATTTATATTATTATTATTTATTATTATTTGTACTAGTAATATAATTTAATATAGGATAATTTTATTTAACTTGTAATTTTGACTTCAAAAATTTTTATTGTACCTAACTAATTCTAACGCATTAATTTTGAATAAAACGGTAATCTAAAATTCGCAAAGATTTGGTATTGTTGTAAATAAAGAGAATCGTTTTAATTCTTTGTTATTTTTCAATAAAAGTTGTCACAAATTACGGTATAATATCCGTCAAATAAACGGATCAAAGTACTGGACTTTGTTAATTAATTTGGAAATCTGATTTAGTCGTTCTGTCGTACATTATCTGTATTGCGAATCACACAAAAGTAACTTATTTGAATATGCTCGATCACTAACTACACTGCGAAACAAATTATAAAGTACGCTTTGCAGAAAATGTTCTGCAGCTGAATTAAGCTATCTAATTAATTACTTATTCGCGTTTCAATTTTTTCGCACTATCTCGATATCGTAATATCGCTTACATTTCCAACAATTATTCATTTGCCGATTGACAGATCTATATTATTTTAATAAACTGTTCCCTGAAATCACAAACGAAATGAATTTTCCGCGAATGCCTGTCCCTTTACAATAAACTGTCTAATTGGACTCTTTTACTTCCATTCGAGAAAATTTCTTCCCTGATGGGAGAGAGTCGACGTTCGCTTATTATTTCTTAACCCGAGGCACTCTTTTCGCCTCAATTGCGTTAAGACCGCTTAGACAGTCTCAATGGAGGAATCTAGTGCACTTGCAATTTCATTTTTGCAATCTCAATAGTATATCGAGCAGGCCAAAAATGAAAAAAAAAAAAAGTAAAAACAATTTTATTAAATCTAATTTCGAATATGTATGTTTCTGTAAATCTCATATTATAAAATATCAT